GTGGGCCGCGCCTCAGGGGTTCCTAGTTCCCTTTGCCTGTGTTGAACCCAAAATTTCCATTGCAGGGGTGAATGCTGGCATCGTGGTACTTCACTGCTGATTTGAAACGGATGACAGACCCTGGAAAATCCCTCTCATATTGAAAAAGAATGAAATAAGTGTAAGAAAAATTGAAAAAAAAAACAGGGGGCGTAATTGTGTTGTAAATGAAACAGGGCAGAATGTAGATTGACAGCACGCCAAAAGTGCTTTACACATGTATATTTATTTCTGAATTATTATACACCAAATGTTTCAGTGGTGAACCTTTAATAAAATAAGCTGGTTAAAGAAATATAATACATTAAGAAGTACTCTGGGGTTTTCTCTGTTTGAATGGCTATTTTTTCCTTCTGCATTTTAATTCCTACATATTTTACATTGATGTTCACTAGCTGGCCCCTGCAGGTCAGTGGCATACTGTGAAACCACGGGCAGATGTGCATCCCTCCACCCACACAAGATCAAGAAAAGGACAGGAGCACAGGAAAGCAGCTCCGTAGTGCTACTAGAGGTCCACGACGTCACAAGGAACCCTTCAGATGAGACATTCACTGGCCTTGGAAGTCAACCAGTATCAAAAGTATCACCATCTTGAACACAAGACCAGCTGTTTCACAAGGGTGTCTCATCGGAAGAAGTCCCCCCTTGTCTGTTTGTCTCTTTGAATATTGGGGGGGGGGTTAGCGTGTGGGCTCAGGGAGGGTGAACTTAAGCCATCACAAAAGGAGACTTCAGTACAACTTTGAGTCCAGTGTCAGAGGACACCCAGCAGATGAGGCGGAGAGTTTGTGAGCCCTCTTTTGTGTTGGATTTTGCCACCCAGCTCTGACAGAGAAGCACCGGATACTGAGAGAAAGGGCAACTGACAGCAGTGGGTTCCCCCTTTGCACTGCAGGTTACAGGGTGCTGGAAGGGAGGGTGATTTTGTATTGCCCTCAGCATAAAATGAACCTTAACAAGAAAAGGTGCGGACACTCAAACATCCATTGACAAAAACTAAACCGCACTAGAGTCATTTTTGCTCCAACTCCGTTTGGATCTCGTCGGCCAACTGCTTTGAGGATGCAAAATCTGCAATCAAACCGAAGGGGGGAAAAAAATATTCATTCCCTGACGAACGCAGCCTATTTTTGGAGCAAACGCATGTCAAATAAAAACAGGAGACAACTATTTTATTCATTTGTGGTGTGTGCCGTTATGTCGTGGTGATGGAAACCCATTCATTTAATTCCAAGTCCTAACCGTAGAAGAAGCCAAGACAGGATCTCCAAGCCTCCTAAGTTACATTATTCCACACAAATGCCGATGGGAGGATCACCGCCAGGAAATATTCAATGACACATGAGAGGAACCACTCGGTACGAGCATTTGATTCTGTTCCACTCCCGGCCCGAGGTTCTCAAACTCCCAGCGGAGTGCTGTTGTCCATCCATCCATCCCAGCTCATAGAAAAGCGCCGTCCACTCACAGCATCGCCGCAGGTTAATGCACAGTGAAAGGGGGGGAAAAAAGAAAGTGTGCCACCCTTTCAAAACCCACAATCAAACTCATTACCAGTGCTTTCAACTGGCATGCCTCATCATCTTCCATTAAAAACACGCTGTGTCAAAAAACGTATAAAGAGACCATCTGTGCTACTTCCAGCAGCGTGCACTCTATAATAAACCTTTGAGAATTGAACATTCGAGAAAATGCATCTGATGATTCAATAGTGATAAATCCCATCATGCTAATATATTGGGACTGCTTCAAAAACCAGAGCTGAATGACTCATTATTCACCGGCTGGAGAGCATTAAGCTCATGATTTACATGTAGATACCATTTTAAGCAATATAACCGCAATCAAAATCCTAATTGCCCATTCGCCGTTGCCTCCGGGCAACGCTTCCCAGGCCGCAGCGTTCGTCTCTCCAGGCCTCACGAAAGGCAGATTAACCAGAGTCACATAAGCAAAAGCAGCTGGCCACAGTAGCTACCTGGATGTCTGCTTAGCTTTACCTAGCACTCAGTAATTACACGGCCATTAGGGCACCTCCCAGCACCAAACCACACAGAGGGCGAAATTTAAAAAGCTGTCACTGATTAATTACCAGTTGCCCACTGAGTTGAGGCTATTTTGGGGGGAGGTGGGGGGGGGGGGGGGATTGGCACAACTGTAACTGTATCAGGCCACTGGGACTGCACACTTTGTCCGCCGGAAAGGGGGGGGAAGTGGAGGCCAGCGTTGACACAACGGGTTGAAAAGAAGTGATTAGGTGGGAGAATTCTGAGGGCTGTGTGTAAATGTGCCACCCGAAGTGAATCTAATCTCAACCTGACAAACCAAACCAGACAAATATGACTTGGAGGGGAGGGGGCTATAGAGGAGGGGAGTTTGAGATGTACAGCCAGGATACTTGGTCCCTTTCGCTTGAACCAATCACAGCTATAGCACAGTGTGAGTGAGTGACCACTCACAAGCTAACACCCGAATGGCCAATGGCAGCAGTACCTGGCACTGTTAGCATGAAAAAGGACCACAAAAATTAAGCTCCACCTTCACTAATCAGGAACAAATACAGCATGCTTTAAATTCACAAAGGGCTTTGTCTCATTAAGATGGTGCAAACATCCTGAGATTCAGAAGCAACCGATAAAACATCCTGAAGCTATACGGACCATTGCTCTGTCTTTGCAAACCACTCCATCTTCTTTGACAGCAATAAAGTAAAGGCTGTGAAAAGCACATTACAGTCCTCCTCAGAAAAAAAAGAAGCCCCATCTGAGCCACGGGCTGTCTCGTAGATAGAAGGGAGGATAACTTTTGAGTGAATCCATTCAGCATTCAAATAAAAGAGTTTGGGCAAAAAGGGGCTTACTCCGCATTAACGAAGTAAACTGCATGTGTAATACACTGAACATTGCAATATTAAAAGACACAGACTGTTTAAAAGTGTGCGCTTGATGTACTGTTATGTGACCAGAGTTATAAATAATTAAAAAAACTGGACATGAAAAAAATAAATGTAATCACATCCGAGAGTGCCAGCTTCATTCGACGGAACTCGGTGCCGCCTCGGCTTCTGGGGACGCCACGCTTCATTCGACGTGTAATGTGTTCATGGTTATATTTCCGCCCTGTTCAGTTGTGTGGTGGGAGAGAATAAATAGCAGACATACAATATGGATTGAGAACAGAGAGCAGCATGATTGTGAGAGCCTCATTATGGTCAATACTTCCAGTACGTGTCGCAATTGATAAACCACTTGAAAAAAGTAAAAAATGTGGATTTCAGATTTGCGGATTAATACTTCCACCAGCCCTGTTTCTTCTTTCAACGAGGTCCGATTTTGATAGATGTTAAGATCCTTTTAAGGCATTACTGCAATGAATCTGCTGGATAATCTTTTTGTCCCATCCCACCGACAGAGAGGTCAGAGGTGAAGGTCAACGACAGAGCGATCTCCGGCTTCAGTACAGATTCAGCATCCTGCCCCAAGGACACTCCAATCCTCAAGGACGAATTCTTTCCAACACCTGGATTGTCCATCCAAAAGTCCATGAGAGCTCCTCTGAACAATGTCACAACCATGACCTCTCTAGAGGGGTCACATACAGCATGTTCACACTCTGCATTACATTCCCAGCTGGAGTTTACTGAAGTTGTGATACGGCCAGATCCCTCCGCATTGGACTTTGACAAGTTGTAAAAAAAACAGCAGCCTTCCCAACACAAGCACAATGCTCTGCTACTGAATTTTCATTCACAAAAAAGGTAATATGATACTTTATATTCTGATTAGAGTGACTCATTTCGTCCAGATTAAGAGGGTCTGGGGATTCTGAAAACTTTTGGTATTCTTACATCTGATGCTTGTCAGTGACTATGGAGATATTTTTGAGGAGTTGGAATATTTCATATAAAAATTAAAATACTAATGAGCAAACGCTTCAAGTATACATCTGGCGGAATTCTAATGAAATTCTCATACTTATATTTCTAAAAGTAAACCGTTTATCTCCAAGATGTCAGCTTGTAATCAGGTAAAAATTCCCATTTTGAGCCCTGCATATTTCATCCAATGGGTTTATTTAGGATGTTAATAAATCCATAAAGAAACACTAAATTATTCAGGTTATCCGACAAATGCCGGATTTCCATGGTTCCATATTGTAGTTAATTGACCAGCAACAAATTGAAAAAACATTTAATTAACAATTAATTGATATTCAAGACTTAATATAACTGATGGAACTGAACTTTATTTATGGATTTGTTGACATTTCTGACTGCCCTTTACTTTACACAATGCATTCTAGCCTATGGAGATGGCAGAAAACACCTGCAGGGTTATTTCATTCACAACGTTTATTTTTCCTCATTCTCACGGTCAACGTGTATTGAGGAGCAGCGGTGTGACGTCACTCGATGACGCACAGCATACACGCAATGGAAAGGTTTAAATATCAGGAGAGAAAGCGGGACGCCACAGCCCGAATTGCGCAGCCTCCCCGATCCAACATCCTTGAGAGACCCTGAAGAATAAGAAGCTCGACTCCATCCTAAAAAATGATCAGAACGCGAGCCCCGACTGAAGAAAGTAACGTTTCCATCTACTGGCGGCAAACGTGAACTTCAACACCCCCGAAAGGACCCGTGAGCAGACAACACCAGTCAAACAACCTCTCAGCACTTCTATGTATAGACTGCCTGTTAAATGCATTTCTTTCTGCTAAGTGTGAGGGACCGTCAGCTGTCTGCTGTCTTCACGGCGGACCACCCCCTCCCCCCAATATCCCCCCAAACCATCAACACTCTGCAGGCCGTCATGAAGTAAACTAAAGACCTGTTCGGAAAGCTCCCATTCAAAACCCCTCAACTCTGGAGTGAGTCCGATGCTTCATATGCAGCACAGCAGCAGGAAAGCAACGAGCAGGACGCGGACAGGTTTTGGGGGGGGGTGGGAGTTGTTTACCTGGAGGGCAGCTGCATTCAGGGGACGTTTGTCGCGCAGTCCGGATCTTGACAAGATTCTCATAGGAGCGCTGAAAATGTCAAAAGAACATTCATTTTCATTCATTTGACCACGATGCTTTAGATTAAATTATACCAGCTGAGGTTTTCTGAAACGTTGTCACTTTATGGGCATGCAAAAAAAAATGCACAAACAATCAACAAGCGCAAGTGCGAGACCCCAAGGTTTACCTGGGAGAACAGCTCGTCCACTCTTCGGTCGATCAATGAATTTAAATCATCCACGGAGTAGCCAGGAGCGCGGACGAGGCTTTGCCCGTCATTCCCGCTCTGCAAGTCCACGACCCGGTTCTTAACGTCAGCTGCGTTAATGCTCAGAAGAATGCAAAAGGCGATGGACGCCACGGAGCACAACGACGAGATTATGTTCAGCGCGGCAGTCGCGCGGCACCGTTGTCGCTTCTGGGGCGCCACTTCTTTCTCCATCTTCTCCACGCACTTGGATGCTCCTCTTGCCTCCGCGATCTCCATTTGAAGTACGAACTCACGCGCGCTCGTCGGGCGCAAGCTGCATTTGGCGCGGAGTCACGAATGTTTTGGTACAGCGGGGGGAAAGTGTGCCCGCCTGCCTGGCTGGCTTTGCTGGCTGTCTGCTTGCGACGTTCACGCGGAGTGACTCCGTTAGGGGGGGGGGGGGGGGGGGTCCCAACCGCGGAATGATAAACCACACTCAAGCGCGAGAAAGTCCCCCTGCACCGCCGCTTCCCCGAAACTTTGTGGGCCCAGCCGGCTCGCTGCACAATAATCCGCTGCCCCGGAAATTGCTACAATGCACAAATAAGTAAAACGCTTAAGGAGAACGGGGGGGGGGCGAGGGCAGTGCGCATGTAGTGGAGACGGCGTTACCACTCAAGAGCTTTTCCACCGCCGTGCAGCCATGCTCCCCCTCATTACGGCAACAACACGCCTCCAATGTGCGCTGGCTGATTAGCATAATTTATTGACACGCTCCTTTTGCGCTCTGCGTTTACTGCATTTCGGTCTCCAGTTATCGAACAGAACGCTGTGTAACAATGACGCGATTACTTTTTGTATTTTTTTTTTTGGTAGGGCAGCAAATACTTACACACAATAAGTCAGTCATGGAATGATGATGTTGTCTAACATTGAAGGGTTAAAATCTCTGCGGTCAATGTACGGGGACGTTGTTTTTATCGCTTCTGGCCGTGGCGCTGCGTAAAAACGCACGGCAAGCTCTCTTCCTGGGTCTCTGGTTGGAGAGGCGCTCACTGAAGGGTGCAAATATCACATCTTATTGATTGCGTGTGTTCAGTAGACACCACGCAGAAGGAAGAGAGCCACAGAGCCCGCAGTGGGCAACCAGGGATGCGGGCGTTAAGCGAACCCGCAGTCTGTAAACCTTCTGTCCTGGTTGATGCCGTGAATTCTGATCAGATGGCAGTAAATATCCATCCAGACTGAAGTATTACTCGCAAAGACTGTGGAATGGGGCTAAACGTGCACCTCAGATGGTCTGCGAGGAATTGGTTTAAATGTTTCTGCACTTTATTCACCATGCTCCACATTCATAACTCAACTCTTTATATGAATGGCACAATGATAACAATCTAATATATATTTACTCAGTTTACAGAAGCCTCAATAGAAATAGTCCCCTCTGTGCCAGAAGGCTGACAATTCAATTCAACGTGCCCTGCTAGTTTGAGCTATATTTAATGAACAGCCATATATGCATCTATCCACACACAGCATGCTGTCTTGAGTCATAATCAATAAGTCGTTCTTCGTATGCAGTCCCGAATTTAAAATAAGGACTTCATTATCCAGAAACCTCCCCATGCTCCTAACTTGTTATTTTGAAGTTTCTCTTCACAGCCCTTTTGCCTTTTCATTTCTGTGAAAATAGTTCTTTACTTCAAAGAACTGTTTTCAATGTGGGTTTTACTTATCAGTGCAGTTTTCGTCTTTTTTGTAGTTTATGGCTGGATTAATACTTTAGCTCTCAGATGTTCTACATTCCAATATTTCTATCTATTTCTATCAATATTTTATCTAATCCATGAGGTTTTAAGATGATATAATAAAATCAGCATCGCTCTGGCACGCAATTCAGAACTAAGTAAAATAAAAATTGCATTTCTTTTTTTTTGCACCTTGTCAGAGGCAAATTAACATAAACCATCCTAAAGCAATTTCATTTCATTTGTTTGCAGGGACAGCGAGGGAGTATTGTGTTGTTGCACAACCCTCAGAAAATCAAACCCTATTTGTCACGATTCTTCATACAGGGAGAATTCCACGAGACAGCAAATGGCCACAGGTGACTCTGATTATTCTACCTGATTATTCTCAGGTGAAAGACTGCTTGGTTGATGTGACCCTCGCTGGCTCTGCTCCACCTGAGCACAGGGCGAATCAGTCACAATCACTGGCAGCACCTGTGTGACTGTGTGTGTGCGTTTGTGTGTGTAAAGCCGTCATTGAAATCTACAGACGAAGAGTACTTGCATTTACTTTGTTACCTGTGTACATGTGACGCAATACTTAAGTGCTTTTGACATACAGGCACATTGACCAAGTATTTGTCCCGTTCTGAGATGTGCTATTTGCACAGCTCTTTAGCAGCATTTGTGTCGCCGTGTTTTGTTAATATTCACTAAATATTTCATTTACAAGGGTAATGTAGCAACGCAAACTATGTGAGGCTGGTATTTGGTTTAAATGCTGCCTCAGACACAATGTAAACCTGTATCAAACACTATTTCAAGGGGTTTACTAAAATACTCAAAGGGTACAGAGGTTGCATCTTCACTGTCCTTTCCTGAAAGACACGGCTCGTATTTCATTGTGTTCAACTGAGAAGTGCCAATGTAAAAATTATTAAAGTTTGTGTTCTTTTGAAAATGAATTATTACATTTAACTTGTCAAATTAGACCATTTTATAAAAGGATAAAAGGTTGGAAATTTGCAGTAGAATACATTTTACATTCATACAATGACTTTCATTTCTATGTATTATACATACAGTATATCTTTGCCAAAACCTGCTCCATTGGATCAACTAAAATGTATTACTATTTGATGTTTGCTGTCACATCGGTTTTATCTCTGTTTTGGTTTGTGCTGTTCTAGGCCAAATAAAAAAAAACATTGTTGTAACTCATACATGGTTTAACTCATGTCATGTCATGTCATTATGTCATGTTCAGTAAAAGATCTGTGTATTGTGCCTTTTTTTGCCAGGAAAAAAAATATATATAGGAGTTATAACAAAATGTGGACCAGGAGCTCTCGCCATTTACGTCTATTTGAAAGATTCGGACGCCACCTACTGGACAAACACAGAAACGCCCTTGATGTTGTAGGTTCCATAATCCATAATTTAACATTTGTACGAGGAGAAATCCCCATGCGTGCAAGTTCAGCAGTTCACGAGGTCAACATCCCCCCTTCTCTCATTTGCGAGCCTTCTTTACAACCGTTCCTCTTTTCCTTTTTTTTGGGACCAACACAAAGTGACAGATGGCTTCCTGCGACAAGGTCACGTTGCAGAACGCACGACCGCACTTTGCATGTTCAGCAAAAAAAAAAAAAAAGAGCTCGGAATAAAAATCCAGTCAAACGCAACATCATCTCATGAGGGTGCCAAACTCCTCGGTATATTAAAAAAATGTATATCTCTTCCACTTTGTGCAACAACTTCAGGGCTATTTGGAACCTTCCCTCGCAGTCCTCCCCTTGACAACCGGCCTGCATCACAATAATCCACTGGTGTTTATTTTTAGAAGCGCTCGGCCGCTGCACACGCACACGCACACGCGTGATCCTCCGGTCAATAATTCATACGTCGCGGCCGCGGCAGCGGCGCGAAACACACTGCGGCTCCAGCCAGGACGGCAAACAGCGCGCGGCGTGACGAGAGACGCGCCAAAACTACTGCGAGGCGGGAAAAGGACGCAGCGACACGCCACGCGGGCCCCCTGTGAGGTGAGCGGATCGGTCGGAATTGAGGTTAAGCTGTGGTGAGGAAGACGCAAAATATAGTTGGACACCAGCTTGTTTTTTTTTCAAAATGTCGTTTTCTTTTAAATGGAAGGTGTCTGATCTGTGAGTGAGGAGTTTTGTTTAGAAGGTGGATTCATACTGTGTGGTCAGGTGTTACCCCTGCAGGGCTGGGAGCTGATTTAAACATTAAATTAACTAAAGTTTGATTATCTTTGTGGGCAGGTAAGTGCTAAATCAGGGAAGACAAACAATCGCAGTGTTTTTTGACAATATCCATAACAATTAAGACATATCTCATCATTTTGTCTCACAGAGTGGCTAATCCTCAACTGAAAAGGACAAGTGACAACATGACCACTATGAGGTATTATCTTACGTTTTTGTCTGGACACGTCAGATTGAAACTACATTTTCTCAATTAAAACTAAACATGTATAAAAAAATTAAAAAAAATTAAAAACAGCCAAATTACCATGTGTTTCAGGTCAATCTACCAGACCCACAAATGGATCAAACCACCTCCACCACCATCGGCGACTCCCAAAGGCCACCGGAGAGGCAGCGGCAGCATCGCACAGATGTACTTTGAAGCAAACCAGAAGACATCCAGGGAGGACTACACAACAGTGTACCAAAGTAAGCAGTGTTCAGCATCGGTACCTGTTCTATTGAACCACAGACATACATACATGCACCCCCCCCCCCAGGTTCACTCTCGCTGTCTCTTATTTTCAGGGGATTTCCCAGTGTGGAAAGTGCAAAAGTGCCTCCCGTTCAAGCAAGCCAACAGCTTCCAAGTGGAACTGGGATTAGTCCTCACCGACGATCCCTCCAAAAGTCGCTCTCAGAAAAATTCGGTTCAAGGTGGAGCCAACTCGAAGCCGGTCCCACCTTTTGAAAGGGTCACCTGCTACAGATCTGACTACGTCAGCCACCCAGTGCAGAGCACCGTGAGGGTGAAGCCTGTGCACAACACCAAAGGTCTGCTCTCTCATCCCGCCCCGTCTTCCAAACCAGAGGCGGCAGGGGAAGTGGACAAAGACATTTTTGATGGAAACGGGGCATTATGTCCAGAGGTCAACAACTGGTTCCCTGAAAACTACCTCCAGGGGACAGGCCGAGCCCAAAACACGAGTCCACCCGCAGACCGTCCGGAACACACGTACACAGGCGCCAACCTGGTCCGGGCATCGAGGAAAGCCAGAGAGGGAGGCCGGCATCGCTTGTGGGGGACAACCATGAAGGAGGATTACAAACATTGGAAGATGTCACCGCTCTCCTCTGTCCGTAAAGACCCCAACTGGCCCGAGAGACCCACCTTTACACCGGGCCCACCCGAGCCCGCCGAGCGCCGCGCCACAACTCTGACGCCGTCCGCCACCAAGGCGACTCAGTGTCCTGCCGAGAACAGAGCGCGCGCCTCCTCGGACCCCAACCCCCCAGGCACACGCGGGTCCAGGACGTGCTGGACCAGCTCTTTCGACGGAGGAGGGACTTTGGCCGACGGCGGAATCGGTGGGGGGCCCAATGAGTGCCACCAAATGATCAGCTACATGACTTCTAGCCAAAGCTGAGCGGTTGTGGAGAGCCGGCCCGATGAGATGTGGGCCGGCGACCCACCACATCAGGTAGCCTCTGAATAAAAAGCCATTAACGCAACTGAGATTATGTAACGGCAGCTATTTTTATACCATTAAGCGGCTCACTGATACTCTTAAGCACAACTCATTTTGAGTGTTATGTAATCTACTTATTTGACAGCATTTTATATATCGCGGTTGGGAAACAAGTTACACAGCGCCATACGGTCTTTCACAGCAATTACTGAATAGCGTATAAATAAATGAATCTGGTGGGATCAGTTGAACCTTTCATCTATGATGAACAACAACAATCGTTTGGAGTGAGCACACGGTCAATGCTTATTATTCATTTTAAACTCAAACTATATAGCAAGTGCACCCATGTCATCAATACCAAACAATGACTGCTGTAATGATCAAAAAAATGATATTTTTATTAAAAAAACAAATAGGCAAATATCCTGAAAAGGAAATGCCATGACCTGGACACCTCTTAACGGTAAAACCATTCACATACATAGCAAAAGACATAATCTTTCTATTTAAAAAAAGTAATCAATACAAAAAAAAAAAAAGTTGCCCAACTGTCTCTATGCGTAGCAGCTCCAGTGCGAACGAAGGAAGAAAAAGGGACATTTATAACTAGTTCCTCAGGTACACATTAACATCAACTGTCCTCTTCACAAATCACATTACGTAAAATCCGTATAGTTAAATGTGTGCCAGCAGCGGTCAGTCTTCTTGGAAACGGATGTGCTTATAGGCCTCCTTGGCCCGGGCGAGGATGATTTTTTCTGCTTTGGCTATGAGCTGAGGTGATAAAAGAAAAGAAAAATGATGGCAAACGTTACAGGTCGGCAGCAGCGCTTTGACTGTGGTAGGTGACGGAGAGCGTTATTCCAGGTATTAATACGTATCCAAAAGAGGATTCAGGACGAGCTGTCAATACCGTGCATAATAAAAGTCAATCACATAAATGCCACATTATTTGAACTAGTCAAACTTCTGCAGACTTACTGTAAACATTTAGGAAATCAAAAAGGAATGATCCGTAGTATAATGCTGTGCACAGTAACATACATGTATATTTCGGTTTAAACATCTAAAGCATGATCTCACCTTCTCTGTACCCCTCTTCTTTTCCCTCGGACGATTGAGCTTGACTTGGCGGTCCACTAGGATCTTCTGCCAGTACCTCTGTTCGTGGTCACCTTTAAAAGTAATTTAAAGTAGACTTATCAACACAATGTTACCCGCAATTTAAATCAAAATACAAATCAACAATTAATAAGAAACCTGGTGGCTCAAATTATGACATTATGCTCTCAATATTACTGTGTGTGTCTCCCTTTATTTCTACATACTTTTCATGGGAACATTTGTTGTGCTTTATACATGAAGGCATCTCTAAATATTCTTAACTCATCATGCCTCTTTGTTAATTGAAAACATGGGATTGATATGAGCAATGAAAACCGTTATAACAAAGCGGCGGACAGATGATGACTTTTAACCGACATCACTCGGACCCAAAGGCCAGGACGTCTCATTTTGTTAAATGCCTGAGCGTCCCGTCGGCGAGAGCACTCATAGTAGCGCAGAATAATGAGAAAGCGCCCCGATAGACGTGCACAATAAGTTCTTCCGTGAACAAAGGACAGGGGGGGGGTGCATACCTGCCAGGATCTCCACCTTCCAGTTGTGCGCTTTCTGAAGCTCTCCTCTGGCGTCGCTGGCGGCTTTAGCGTCCTCCGGGCTGTTAAAGCGGATGTGACCCTCAGTGTCTCCTTCCAAGGTGTCTACGTAAGCTACTGGGGCCAATTTGGACAGAGCTTCCTACATTGAAATCCCAAATCAAGAACGTTTGTTAGTAACCTGACAGATCTATGCTGACACTGAATCGCTTTGTGCATAAACAAATAAACCCGTGTTGCTAACTTTACATCACATGGAGGACCTGACACGCTTTTCTATTTCCAAACTATTAATTTACAAAAACCTGATTACATTTTTTGCTTTAAATCCAGAAGAGAGGCAAAGCGCCTTCCTCAATTTCACATAATGCTTTTGTAACATCACGTAAAACCTGCACATCAGAAACTTGTTGTTTGGGAATGTGAAACTGTTATTAAAGCAAAAAAAGGCAATGACTTGAGATTTAGAAAGTGCAGTTTGTCATTTCTTATGATGTGATCACTGGACATCGACGGCGTGGGTGACTGCCAGCGGGCCTGACGAGAGGGCGGCAGGTCACATCGTACCTTGATGAACGTCCTCCCTGGCAGAGGCTTGTCGCCTGTGATCTTCACGATGACGCCGCTGGTGAACTGAGGGCCGTCGTTAGGCCCCGCCTCACTTTTCTTACTCTTCTCAGCTAGAAGACAAAATGTTGATGCCGAATGTGGTGTCGATACCAAATAACGTATCTGAATAACTGGAACTACTGCGACAATTAGGGACAAAAGTCGTTCTTACCATGTTGAGGATCCTTTCCCGTCTCCCTTAGCCTCTTGCGCTCCTTGTGATCAATCTTAGAGATGCACTTCTTCAAGGACGTCATGCTGCTCTTCTGCAAGGCCAGGTACTCATCCTTCAACTTGAGCCACTCTTTCCTAACGCAGCCAAAAGAGGAACAGAGTCAATCGTCAGCGTCCCCTGGGTTTTTCACATATTGATCATATTGTTGACGCGTGACGAATGTAGGTGGGACCGTACTTGGATAGAACCCGAAGGGGGATGACTTCTTCCCCTATTTTCAACTTTTCCTTGTGTTTCTTCTTTCTCTTCCTCTTCGCTTTAACAGCTGAATCTTCTCCGTTTTCTTTCCCTTCCTCAACGCCTCCCTCCATGTCATTTTTATTGCGTGTACCTAAAAAAAAAGGGGGAATAACATGGTTGGGATTTCAACTAACTCATGGTTACATTGCAGTTTCACTCATCACCCGTCATCTATTTGGGAGGAAGTAAACAGAGCGAAAGGGGCAAAGGGAAAGATTTATATCGTTACTTGCGTTTCATCTCAATTTGTCCAGATACTATAATGACTTACTAGGCTTAGTTAAATCTTGGTCCTTCTCTCCAGCTTTACTTTCACTCGTCCTCCTTATTTTGGACGGCACGTCACTTCCGGATCCCTCCGCTGTCTGGGACCGTCGTCTTTTTTTCTCCGACGGTTTGTTGGGCGTCTTATGAGCGGCAGCGACATCCGATTCAGAATCTCCCGCCGCCGACCGCCTCCTCTTTGGCGCCGACGGTTCGGCTTCCTTATCCCGCTCTTTGGGTTCTTCAGCAAGAGTCTGTGACGCGGCACCTTCTTTCTTTTTCTTTCGCTTTCGTTTTTTCTTCTCCTCTTCTTCACCAGTCGCACAGGAACGTGAAGTCACGGGAATCTCTACAACAAAGTGTATCAAAACTTATTTTCCCCCCCCGGTATTTCGCACGAATCACATTTCTAATGGGATTTCCAGTTTATGGAAGCTAGAGAGAATTACTGAAGTTACTTTTATTATATTATCGTACCTGGTGGTGGATTGTCGGCGGGTTGGGGAAGGGGCTTCCCACGTTGCATCTTGGGGAAAATCCCTGGCTTCCTGGGAGCATCTTCAGGGGGGTTGTTCAGCATCTGTTATCAAACGTCAATATTGTCCATGAGGGTTTTGCTCCGGCCAAAAAAGGCAAACTAACTAATAACATTTCATTGAAGTCATCACCTCTATGGCTTTCTGTGCATGTTCCCCCTTCTCAAACTCTATGAAGGCAAAACCTTTGGGGTCCCCCGAGGTCTTGTATCTGGGGATGCTAACATAAACCACATTCCCGCATTTTGTGAAGACTTTCTCTATCCAGCTGTGCGTCACATCCTTGGGCAACAGTTCCTTTAGGAACAAAAAGGACAGAAAGGTATTGCTTTATCATCCAAGAGTATTGTTAATGACAGCAGGGAAATAACATTTAAAAAAACATGTTTTACCACATAGACGGTGCGGCCGTCAACATCATTTGGCACATCTCCGATCGGCAGCTGACGCCTAACTTTATCGCCTTCCAGGTTAACCTGAAACAAAACGGTTAGGCTCATGGGACGTTAGCTGGAAGCACAACCACTCAAAATATCAAAAACTTAACGAGAAAAGATTGTCTGGGTCGTACCTCGACTACAGATGAATTTTTCAGCGCTCTTGCAATCAGCTTGGTGTCACACGTCAACTTCTTCATTCGGTTGAAGCTCGCCAATACGGACAAATCAACATCTGAAAATTAATGACACATTTGCTTTAATGTTTAAGTCAAAATCCAGCGTGCGTGGCTGATGTTGATGCAGCGCGGTATTGACGTCGCCTTACATCCATCATCGGACTCCTCGATGAGTCTCTTCATGAAACGGTCCTTGTGGAGGTTGACGTCTCCGAACCAGAAGTCCACTTGCCTCCTCACGTCACCCAGCAGCTGCTTAACACGGGACCTCTTCTTCTTCTCGATCTCCTTGTTCTTGCTGCGGAGCGCCGCCTCACCGGCCTCCCGCTCCGTGTCGATCATCCTGGGAGGGGGGGGAGACTGTAACAACACGATGGCACCCGGTGAGCGACGTTCACGGTGCGTTTACGTGCGAGGTTACTTCCACGGGGAAGTCTGTTAGTGGAAGGATTATAGCTATTTGAACGGGGAAGATGGACCTTGAATAGCATAATCATTATACGATGCGTTGCTAGTTGGGGATGCGTCGTGAAATTCGCATTTGGCTAATCCTAACTAACGTTTGGGTCTGCGCAGCTAGCCAATTGTTCGTTAGCTATTGACCCTTAACCTTAGCAAGCAGTTGTTGCGGTTGTGTGCGAGTTCGCGGGAACTGACCATTTAAAAAAACGCTCACGACCAGTGTATATCGAAATAAGCAAACCCCTAACGTAGAATTGAATTCGGCCAACAATCAACTCACCTTCTTTGAGACGAGGAAACCGTCCCGTTCGACGCGATGCAGACACACACAAACAAAAACAAGGAGTTAAGTTAGCTCGCTGGCAACGTCATAGAAGCGAAATGAACTCACTGCGTCCATCGGGGTGTCGCATGATATATTCGTCAGAGCAGAATCAGGTTAGGCAGTTTGAACAACTTCCGGTAAACGACTCCAAAATAAGGTGAAACATAAGCCTTGAATGCAATTGTTTGAATGCAAGTTTCCACATTTTATTGCAAATTGTGCACAAGTCACAGGCATTACATTTTTCTTAAATAAAGTCAAGACATTACATGCATTAGGAGGGAAGCGAAAGGAATTTACTCGAATATAAATGAGAATTAATACTTATTTAAAGTAAACACAAAATAATATATGGTAGTATATATAGCACAAAAATAGTGTCCAATGAATACAGTTAATTTAAGTTGTGATCTAACAGGAATATTAATATAAATATAGTCGACGGAATGCATCACGTGGCCGGTTAGCTCAGTTGGTTAGAGCGTGGTGCTAATAACGCCAAGGTCGCGGGTTCGATCCCCGTACTGGCCATGATCCTTTTTCATTCTCGTCCTTCTTCTTAACCCATCAATTTTTTTTCGAATATGATTACTTATGTACTAGCTTATAACCCAAAGGATCAGAAGTCATTTGACTGTTAGTGATTCAACATCTGTTCAAACTTTTTGAGCTTCCTGCTCATGTCGTCCTCAGTGCAGCACTCAATCCTTTGCCTGATGAGCTGTGATAGTTGCTGGTAGAAAGTCTTTGCCCACTGGACCTCTAAGCAGTGGACTGATATGTTGCACACTTTGCGGAGTACCATCAGTAACTTCTCATTGCTGCTGACCTCGCACCGTTTGAAGACCCATTCTCCCCACGCCGTCCACATACCATCTTCTGTAAAACTCACAGTTATGCTTTCTTGGGGGCAAAAAAAGTATGGATCTGTGTCAGTCAAGTCATTCCATATGGCTCTGTATGAAGAGGGAATACAAAAAGCATAAAAAATATGGATATTGTTGAAGTATGTTTGAGAATCACATATGAATAAGACAATGTGACTTACACAATTGTTTTCAGAGGGTTTGGGGTCAAGTCACTGAGTGACAACAGTCCTTTGTAGCTAACTCGGTTTCCCTCCATCCTGTGAAGGGATGTAGCTTTGAGTAAAATGTCCTAAATCATGCATTAAATGTTTGAGACATGAATAAATACTCAAGCAAATATGACTCCAAATCAGAAATCATATTTAGCATTATTATCCCCTGTAAGAAAATAATTGATTATATCGATTACAGTTGATGGTGCCGACAATCGGGCATTTCCTCAATGCAACAACTTGTCCTTTGTCAGAATAAGATGTCTGCACTATTTCGGTGGATGTAATGCTTGGTGTCTAGTCAGCATCGTTTAAAGGCTACACAATGGAGCTAAATGAGGCGACTCCAGAATCAGAACATATATATATATATATATATATATATATATATATATATATATATATATATATATATATATATATATATATATATATATATATATGTCGTCTTCTTGTTTCAATGTACAGCTGTTATACGGAACTGGAGAGACGTTTTTCTTTATGATTTCACCCTTGTCAGCTTTTAAGTTAAAAAAAAAACACAATTCCGGAAAGACACTTCCCCAGAATAAGTTCCTTACCACAGCTCTTGTAGTTTTCCTTTTACCCCTATGGCACTAGAAATAGCCAGTAGTTCATCATCGCCGATGTCTGACCATCCAAGACTAAAAGGAGAAGTGTGAAACATGTCTGGATATTATTATATTATAGTTATTGTCAAGTAATAATTATATGATAATACATATTGATTTTCTTTGCAAAATCAATTGATATCTTACCCAAGGTGGGTTATACTTTCTGACACGTGCAGCACATCCGCAATGACATGAGCTGTGTTCATATCAAGGTTGTTTTCTCCAAGCCTTTAAAGTGAAAATGAGGAATTAGGGTGCAGCCCGCATTATATTTTCCTCAATGCTGTGTTGGTGATTTGCCTACTTCCTGATGCGTGCAGAGCGATATGCCACACAAAATTGCAGAAGCACCGGGACCGAAAAGTGGCAGGAGGCAGGTTTCTTTTTCAGAAATGCTAACTTTATTGAGAAATTAGCAAAACACAGCGACTTGAAAGTAGCACATCGTCTTAAATAAAGTAATGCATCTCTTTTATCTCGGCAATTTCCTTCTTTGGCTAAATACGAGGCGTATATGATCGGAACATGCCTTCCACAGACTGGCAGGCCGTTCATATGATCGGAACATGGCGATATTCAAAGTGGCATGGCACCGCTTAAACAATAGAGAGCAACATATGTGACATGAGTCGAAGGGAAGTACAAACACGTTGTTTCCGTTGATTACTCAGACTGCCTGCGGACGGTTATCCAAACATTGGCCAAAGGACCTGTTTCAGGCTTTATAAGCAAATACAGAATCCCTTGGGCTTCATTTCTAAAGCCTCTTAGCCATTTAGCCAAAGAAGGAAATTGCCAAGATGAAAGAGATACACCACTTTATTTAAGACGCTCGGCTACTTTCAAGTTGCTGTGTTGTGCTAATTTCTCAATAAAGTTAGAAAAAAACAATTATGGTCGTGATAGATACTCATTTACATGGGATTTGCATGAGGGGGAGGAGTCTGGTCCATGTCACTACATAACCAACTGAGATCGGTTTGTGCCGTTCTGAAAAAGGTACTCTGCCACTTTTCGGTCTCGGCGTCACTCCAAAACTGCAAATATTGAAAACTGAGCCAGAGAATGAGACAGTGTAACTGCATGAACTACATTCATGAAGAACTCACCACAGTTTGTTACATCTGAGCAGCAGGGGCTGAATGTCTCGAAGCGCCTCACAGCTTACTCCTGTGCCCGTCAGATCCAGCTCAGATATTTCACCTTTTGTAAGGTTCAGGAAGTACTTGATGGCATTGTAATCCATTTGGGAGAGTGTTTCGTCGCTGACATTCACTTGCAGCGTCTTTGGCTGCACGCTGAGGGCCAGAGAGGGGTCCTGCTGTTCAAACAGACAGTGTAAATGGTTTAGGATATGGGCCCCACTCTCACAGACCGTTGTTAGCTCTCTGATGATCCTCTGTCGATAGTTGTCCACTTTGTCCTTCTGGCAACACAGCCCCACCTGCCTTGAGAGAAGGTTAGCGTTGCGTTCAGAGAGGATTCCAGAAAGGAAGCGGTTGAACAGGTCCAAATGTCCGTTGTTGGATCCCTCCGCAAGATCTGCGCCGTGTTGAAGAACTTCGGGCAAAGGGTCATCCGTCACTGCATAATAAACCGCAGCGAAGAACTCTTGAACAGTGAGGTGCGCGAAGGAGTAAACCTCCTCCGTGCAGCCGGGCTCTTGTGAGACTGTCTTGTCCAGAAAGGTGCTAACGAGGCTGCATCCCACCAACGCTGCGACATCTCCGTCGCTGCCGTAGAACAGAGTTTGATGCCCCAGCAACTTTTGGAAGGCCAACCGTCCCAGCTTCAGCACGACATCGGACAGCGGCTGAGCGGCCATTGCTCCTTGATCCCGGCCGAAGGGTTCGGCTCTCGCTTGAGTATGAGAGCGAAGCAAGGCCACCAGGTACTGCACATAAATGTCGGTCATGGTTTTGGGTTTCTCTTCACAGAGGTCTTTGCTCTCTCTAAGGATGCAGCAGACAATGTAGCAGAATGCAGGTATGTAGCACAGCGTCAGCATTAGCTCATTGGCCGACACCACTGCAAAGGTGCTCTCAGCTATGGCACGGTCCTGGAAATAACGGAAGAAGAAGTCTTGAACTTCAGTCAAGGAGAAGCCAGCGATGAGCACGAAGCGGTCGATACAGCCCACGGGGATGTGGCTGATGGCTGCTGGTCGGCTTGTGAGCAAGACAGAGGCGTTGGGAAGCAGCTCACCGTGCATCAGACTCCCGAAGACCTCCACCACCTCTCCCACTTCCTCTGGCTCCGTCACAAACGTCTCGACGTCGCAGCTCCTGTAGTGTCTGAACTCATCGAAGCCGTCTAAGATGATCAGCAGTTTGTGCTCATTCGCTAAAATGTTATCCAATTCCTTAGCGAGGTGCCTGTTTTTACGCAAGACCAGCTCACGGAAGTTTACAGTCTTGTCAATCAGATTCAGATCTCTGAAGGTCATGTGAAAGATGAAGTCAAATCCAAGATGGCTCTTGTTCCTCCCAAAATCAAACAGCATTTTCTGCACAAGGATGGTTTTCCCAATGCCGGCCACCCCGGACACCAGAACCTTCTTGACAGGCCTATTTCCATGCGCACTTGAAAAGAGTTCGGCTGGGGAGATTTTCTGCTTCACCGCTGACTTCTGCTGCAAAGATAGTCGCTTTTGTCCGAACGTCAGCACCTCGTGTCTTTTTTTCTCCAAGCCCTGGTGTCCGTCGGCCAGCAACAGATTGACATAATGATCGGAAAAAAGGATTTTCTCTCCGTGACGAGTGTTGTAGAAGAGCATGCTCTCACTCCGACGGGTGAGGACATCTTTATGCTTTTGTTTGACTTTGTTATACTCTGGAAATGACAAGATCCATGCGATTGGTGCTTTGTGCCAACTGTATATCATATTAAACTGTGCTCAACGAACACCACCACCACCATGTACGGTTAACGAACAAAGCAATGCTAAAACAAGTGTTTGACTCATATTATTGTCATCTTAAATGAATGTAACAATGAATTGCATACCTACGGACTGATCTGTGCTTCCTTCCTGGGGGTGCGTCTGTGTCTCTTGCTGGAGACGGCTGATTGAGAGGAAAACCTTAGCTGCTTCCTCGCCTTTACAGGTCAGGATATCCAACACCGTCCTCACTCTGGCCCGGGCCCCCAGCTTACACAATACCTCCTCGCGGTCATCACGGGTGAACAGTTCACGACCTACTAAGATTTCCAGCAGAGAGTCAATCCGTCCTTCCAGTTGGTCAACGAGGGAAACTCGCAGAGCCCCGAGAGCTGTCAAACAAGAATTGCAACCATCCTCTTCCACCATCACTAATCTGAAATGATCCTCAGAAAGTCATCAGGCTATGGCGCTAGGTTGGGTTTTAGTCTAGAATCATGCGTAGGAATTTCCTCTCATAAGTTAAAGGGTATCCCGTGAACGAAGAAATGTGACAACATTGGGTGACAGAGCTGTTGTGTAATAACACAACCGACTTGAGCGCCTTGTTCTTCCTGTTTAGAGTAGAACCTCCCATTTCAGTGTCACATGCTCTGCAAGTTTCGCATGTGAGGTGAAATGAATGGATTGGCGAAAATAAAATACACTGCAGTCAGAACCACAAAAGATTATGAAAGGAATGTATTCAGTTTTATTTAATAATACATCAGGCACAATAAAAAGCAACACATCAGTTTACCAGCAGATGGTCCCCCATGCATGCACATAAAACAACCTGCAGGGAAATGAATACTTAAAATCCACCCCTGTATTTACAAAACTATGCACAAGAACACACATTAAATAAATAGTTGAAAGGACAAAACAGATATCTACATAATTTAAGAGCAAAAGTAATGCTAATTCTGTTTTCCAAAGTCAAATAATCACACCTAGTTATCAATTAAAGTCTGTGTTGCACTTGATGATGAAGTATTGTGGAACTTATTTTAAACATAAAGTCAGAAGTGCAAACCTTGCCTGTCCTGAATAAGTATAGTACTTTAATGATGATCTTTAAAAAGTTCCCTCCTGTTTTAACTAATATCCAAATGTAACACAGAGTTCATATTTATACGTTTTAAATTTCCCTGACACTGAAATCTGTGCAAGAAAGAAGAGTTGCACAAGAACTGTTGTCCTAAGATGTCACACGAACGCTAAAATATAATTTGGCGGAGGGTGGAGGATAAACACGTCCACTCACCTCATGATCAAACGTCACAAAGTGGTTCAAGGGACATTTAAAAAAATAACTTTCCAAGAAACAACAACTCACAAAGCAAAATAGATTTTAACGTTGTAACTTTAACAATTAGAAGGAACTCTACAAGCCATGTTCTTAACAATGACTTGGATGAGTTGAGTGCAAAATAAACTCTTTTTCAAAAATTGACTTGCTACTGTCACACACCTCCATAGTGCAACCCATGCAAGATACATCTTGATCATGTCCTACTTTTTATTCTACCAAAAATGCAGATACATGCTAAATTAACCAAAAGTAACATACAGATCATCGTCAACTTCCCCACGTGGCTCAAAACCAAGTATATTGCATAGAATGTATTCAAATATTCATCAAATTCTTGGCTTTTTGCAATGTTTGCCATTTCCCATTAATATGCAGCAATATGCTGCGTTTAAAAAACACTTCCAGCCATGCCTCCATATGCTTATTTAGCATCCAAACTATTTATCAACACCTTTTTGGAGACCATCACAATGAAGAACAAACACACAACTATCCAGTGGTTAGAAAGAGTTTAGGTGTCTACCCAGAACCCCGTGGTATGAAGTCAATCATTGAAAAAAAAAGAAGAAGAGTGTTTTAGTTTCATATTTGTGAATTGTAAGCTGACAATATCCATTCTATTTTAGGAGCCAAGAAATGTTGATGCAATAGAACGTGGTGGTGCACCACCGCCGTCCCATTCTTTAAAAGAAAAAAAGAAGAACTAAAACTATACCAGATATAAATGTGTAGAGGTTCTTCTTTATGACCACTGAATAACCACATCTCTATCATTTATAATGGAAATATGACTCATATTAAGTTTGCAAAATTTAGGAAAGCTGTAGAAGTTTTATTTCCTTAATGACGTAAAACTTAAGCTTAAATTAATAGGCCCGTCACTCCGTCCAAAAGGAAGTTGATCACAACCACTGTCATTATGACCATGCAAACATTCCTCCACACTCAGGAATCCCCATCCAAGACTGATCATTGAAGACCGAAACGGGGGTCAAGGTATGAGGCTTAGGGGTTTCAAGTCTCTGTTGACCCTTGCAGGTCGTCCACGGCCCTCGTCTCATTTCCCCTCCTCAGGTGTTTCGGCAGGAATGACAGCAGCGGCTCTTAAACTGGGGCAGCGGACAAAGCTCCAGCTGTCGAACCTTCTCGCAGTACCTCGTGCTGTCTCGACACTCTCCTGCTGGAGTACAGTCATAATAGTTTAGTACACACACTCACTTTGAGCCTCTGCCCCGAGGCAGAAACCCTGTCAAATATCTGGCCATGCAGTTTTACATGAAGCGGATTTGATATAGCAACTTCTTAGTCTTCCATTATCCAAATACAGTAGAGGTTAGTGGAATTTCACAAGTTCTTTTCAAAGCACTAACAGATGTCAAAAGACATCAAATGTCCTCACAGGGATCACGTAAGCTGATTTGATAGGGCATGTCAGTGTGGATAGTTTTTTATTCTTTGTGAAACCACAAGACAAACTAGAAAATGCATTTCCTGCTGAAAATGCGTTGGAATGCAAAAAGCTGAAAGCTGAAATGAACTTTTTAAAATAGCTGAAAATACAGAAAGTTGAAGGGAATTTGAATACATTTGCTGAAATTATAGATATTAGAAAAGCTGAAATGAATTTGAAATTGCTGAAAATACAGAAATGGGAGAAGCTGAAAGGAATTTCAATAGATTTGCTGAAAAAGCAGAAATGAAAACAGCTGAAATAAATTTGAAATATTGCAAAAAAATACAGAAATGAATATTGAAAAATTGCTGTTGATAGAGGCATAAGAATAGCTGAAATTATTTTAAAGAACTGCTGAAAATACAGGAAGTGGGGAAGCTGAATTTCAATAGATTTTCTAAAAACAGAAGTTGCAGGAGCTTAAATTTGTTTAAAATTGTTTGTAGTAATATTAGTAGTAGTATTAGTTATAATTGTGGTATTAGTAGTACTAGCAGTAATAGTAGGTTTAGTATCAATAGCAGTAGAAACAGCTGTAATACTATTAGCCATAGTCGTATTTGTAATAACATTAGTAGTAGTTGTAGTATTAATAGCAGTAGAAATACTAGTAGTATGGTAGTAGAAGTATCAGTTGTAGTACTAGAAGTACGAGTAATATTCGTAGTGGGAGACAGAATGTTTGTTATTCAAACTAAGAAGTTTTTAATTAATAGGCCTCATCACAAACATTACAGTAAAAATTCCCTCCATGGGGCTTTTATTTTGAAATTATTGGATTGGGTGGGGTGGGGGGGTGTAGATAGGGTGAGGAAGGGAGGGGTGGTGAGGAAGAGATAGAGGGAGAGAGAGAGGAGGAGAAATAGACAGACATACTGACTGACTGAGTGATTAACAGTGAGAAGAGGTCAGGGTGGAGGGTGGAGGGGGGGCGAGTGTCTTTATCATATTGGTCTGTTGACAGAAAGCATAGCTGCGTCATGTGACTCCACTAATCAGGTCATATAAGCAGCTGTGAGTCACACACAGAGATACTGCAGCGTGTGAGCGAGTAACCACGACAACGGCGCACCTATTGGATTGGGTGGGGTGGGGGGGTGTAGATAGAGGGAGGGAGGGTGAGAGGGTGAGGAAGGGAATGGTGGTGAGGAAGAGAGGGAGAGGGGAGGAGAATTAGACTGACTGACTGACTGAGAGTGATTAACAGTAAGTAGAGGTCAGGGTGGAGGGGGGAGGGGGGCTAGTGTCTTTATCATATTGGTCTGTTGACAGAAAGCATAGCTGCGTCATGTGACTCCACTAATCAGGTCATAGGAGCGAGCAGCTGGTAGCCACAGACAGATCCTGCAGCGTGTGAGTGCCAGTAACCACGCCAACGGGGCACCTATGGGATATGTTGGGTGGGGGGGTGTAGATAGAGGGAGGGAGGGTGAGAGGGTGAGGAAAGGGAAATGGTGGTGAGGAAGAGAGGGAGAGGGGAGGAGAAATTAGACTGACTGACTGACTGAGAGTGATTAACAGTAAGTAGAGGTCAGGGTGGAGGGGGGAGGGGGGCTAGTGTCTTTATCATATTGGTCTGTTGACAGAAAGCATAGCTGCGTCATGTGACTCCACTAATCAGGTCATAGGAGCGAGCAGCTGTGAGCCACAGACAGATCCTGCAGCGTGTGAGTGCTCGTAACCACGACAACGGCGCACCTGTGCGGCTGCAAAAGTGCAGACACAGGACAGCGAGTTACACAGAATCCACACCTCAAACAAATGGGAACCAGCGCAAAACTATAACAGCTATCTAAAAAATACGGCGTTTGTATGAGACCCAAGACTCTACCGAACGCGTGGATGTGCTTTTTATGTCTGTCCGGTAATAAATACGGCTCCTATGGCCGTTGACAGAACGTGTACCTTGTGGATTTTTGTGAGAAATATGTCGGCAGATTTGTATTGGAGCCTATGGGGCTTTTGGCAGAGGTTGTGTCACTCAAACACACCTTGCGCCAAAACTAAAGAACTCTGGGATTCCATGAACACATTAATCCAATCAGCACAACCATACCCTCATTAATCTGAAGAAATGAAGCCTCTAGAGTGTATACTTTGGCTGCAAGGACAAAAGTTCCATATTTTTTTAACCAGATTCCTGCGATGCCCCACACTCTAGCCGTCGAGGTCCCCCTCTAGCAGACGCAATACACACTCATGTAAAAGTCAGAAACGGAGCGAAGAACTAGTGAAACATAATCAGTGATTATGAAAAAAGTACAATAGATATCAAGAAGCAGTTTTTTTCATAAAATAGTTGAGACTTGTGTGAACATTTGAGAGTTGAAATGGTGTCTGTAGCTGAAAGATTTGCAAAGCTGAAAAATCTGAAAGTTGAAGAAGTTTAGGAGGATTTGAAAGCAAACTCCATTTGAAAACCATGTTAAAATATTAATGATTATTGATTTATATAAATTCAAGCATAAGAGGTAGAAAGCTGAAAAGTCATAGCCCTCAAGCCAGAAAGGAGCTGAACATTTTAATATTTGAACGGTTTTAATAGCTGAAAGTGTGAAGGAGTTGAAAGGTGGCGCGGAAGAAATAGAAGAAGTTGAAGATGAAGAAATAAAGATTCGAAGAACAATACTTGGAATGCATCGTTAATGCATTCCAACAATTACTTGTCACTAAATGTTTGGTATTAAGGTGCAAGCAGAAATTTTAAAAAACGATGCTTTCAAACCTCAGCACATGACACCATGCGCAAGATGGGCTGGGCCCATTAAGAGCGATGGATCATTCTAGAA